AACATTTTGTCAATTTAAATTTTAAAAAACAAAAAATCTATTTGTTTTTTCAGTTCTTTTCTTGAGGAGTTTTGTGGAGGGGCTTTTGGAGGAGTTTTGTTTCCCATTACGCGTCCATTCAATCTTTACGCGTCTTATGAAAAGTTTTTGCGTCCAAACAAATTTTTATGCGTCAAATCACATTTGAAAGTACCTCTTTTGTTTGTTAAAACCTATGGTCCAGTATTGTTCGTATGTACCGTGGATGAGCCGGGTTCAGGTGGTCCGGCCCATCCCTGGTGACTAACTTCCCGAATTGCGATTAGATGGACAAGAGTGATGGTCGGGAGTTAAAAAAAACCCGGGAGTCGAGACCGAGACCGGGAATCAACCCCGAGACCGAGAGCTCAAAAACCCGGGAAATTTCCCGACTCGGGAACCGAGACCGGGAATCCCGACCATCACTAATGGACAAGAGCATAATTTATTCACATAATTATTCTTTTCAATTTAGATTTTTTATCAAATATTTTTTTTATCAATTAAAATTAAAAAAATTTTCTACAAAATGACTGAAAATGTGTTGGAAGACTCTGATTTGGAATTAGAAGTAAATTTTTAAAAAAATAATAAAATAAATAAATTATTTAAGCTTCTAATTGAATTTACCAATCTTCTAACAAAATTTCTTGAAGCGGATAAAAAGAATTTAGAACTTTTAAAGAAAAATGATTTTCTTGAAAATAAATTCGAGCAACTTCGAAAAATAAATTTTGGCCAAAAAAATGAAATTGAAGAAATTAAACAAAATTTTCATCAAAAATTAATTGAAGAAAATAATAATATTAAATTAAATGATAAAAAATATGAGAAAATTACTTCTTCTTTGGAAGAAGTAAATGTTAAAAATCTCTACAAAATGACTGACAAAGGATTGGAAAATTCTGATTTGGAATTAGAAGTAAAATAAAAGATTGGGCTGTATATGAAAGGAATGCGGCACTCAATTTTTTTCCCTTATTCTTAAAAATGGTTAATTTTCTTTTATTTTTCTCTCTATTTTTGATTTTTGCCTACGACTACAAATGCAAAAGGATTAATTTTCTTTTATTTTTTTATTTCGTTCGTTTGACTGACCGATGTGTGTCCGTGTTTTAACTGACCGAGTTCGTCCGTGTTTGTCTGTCCGGGTTCGTCCGAGTTTTGTCAATCTGACACATTGGTCAGTTAAAACACGGACATAAAACACGGACGAACTCGGATAGACAAACACGGACAAACTCGGACAGACAAACACGGACGAACTCGGTCAGTCAAACGAACGAAATAAAAAAATAAAAAAAAATTAATCCTTTTGCATTTGTAGTCGTAGGCAAAAATCAAAAATAGAAAGAAAAATAAAAGAAAATTAGCCATTTTTAAGAATAAGGGAAAAAATTGAGTGCCGCATTCCTTTCATATACAGCCAAAGATTGTACGACACTTGCGGACCGACATTTGCGGATTGCGAGCCGACTTTTGCGGATCGGACATTTGCGGATTGCGAGCCGACTTTTGCGGATCGGACATTTGCGGACTGTTTTTGGGAAAAAAATTTTTAAAAAATTAAATTTCCAAAAATGAAGGGCAAATTTTTTTATCAAAATAGTCAACGTAAACCTATGTAGAGTAGGCGAGGCGCTTGTGCAAACCCCCGCGCTTCGCGCGGGGGTTTTGCGGCACACGCCTCGCGGGCAGTGATGGGCAAAGTTCCAGTTCCAGAACTAGAACTACGGAACTAGTAAATGTCTGGAACTAGCTTTGTAACTAGTCTGGGCTCTTAACTTAATCCTATTCTTATCATCGATGACATGGTCATGCCCGGCTTCCCCCGCAACAGCAAAAACTCAACGGATGCAATAGGTACGGAGCTAAAATAAACGATCATAACTTTGTCTAACTTGTTAGATCAATAAGCTATTATTTTGATGAAGTTGCACATCGAAAAGATATTAAAATAAACTTAATTATTTTTTTCGTCTTTGAAAATTAAATTTAATTTTTAAAAATTTTTTCCCCAAAAACAATCCGCAAATGTCCGTCCCAAAAGTCGGTCCGCAAGTGTCGCACTACGAAATAAAAAATATAAAATAAAAATATATCGGTCCAATACTTTCGACTTGTTACCATTGAATAGAGAATTAAATACTCTATAAGTACCAGAAAATAAAAAATTTTTACTGAATAACAGAGGTGGGTCGGAACAGTCAGAGGTGTCGGAAATCGGAAGTGGCTCAAAAGTCGGAACTCGGAAATCAAAATTTTTTTCGGAAATCGGAAGGAAAAAAAACGTCGAAAATCGAAATTCCGACCCACCTCTGCTGAATAAAAAAGTTGGAATCCAAAAACTAACTTTTCGGCACTTTATCGATCATAACTTTTTTATTAATAAATCTAAAAGTTTGATTTTTTGGTATGTCGTAGAGCTTTTAATTATCAATCCAAAGCTACCAAGAACATGAAGAAATGAGCATCTTTTTATGAGTTTTAGGGTCGGGACTGAACTGAGCCCGGCTAAAAAACTGCTTAGTAAATAATTGGTACTTGTGAGTTATCCCAAACAAGTCAGTCCAATACTGATAATAAAAATATATCAGTATTGGACTGAGGTATACCTAATAAAATTTTAGCAATTAAACGATGATTTAACAAATCTCCGAATTAATTATCTCAATCTTCAAACAAAATTTATTGAAGTGAAGAAAAATAATTTAGAACTTTTAAAGAAAAATGATTTTCTTGAAGAAAAGATTGAAGAAATTCAAAAAATAAATTTTGACCAAAAAAATGAAATTGAAGAAATTAAACAAAATTTTTATCAGAAATTAATTGAAGAAAATAATAATAATGAATCAGATGATGAAGATCATGAGAAATATGAGAAAGTTAATGCTTTGGCAGAATGCAAAATAGTAAATTATTAAATTGGGTATTTTCTGATAATATAGGTACTTGTGTAGTTTACCCCCCATAAGCCTCGCCCCCTTCCTTTTTTTAAAGTAACCTATCAAAATCGAACGTCGATCATTCTCAACCACCTAAAATACCTGTGGACTGAGATGTAGAAAAAATATTTGTCGTAAATATATGGGTAGTATAGTTTAATTATAATTTAATTGGGATCAACCCCCGAAACCCCGACGATTTTTCGGTAGAAAGCCCGATCCTAACCCCTAAAACTACCCTGACAAACCCCGATCCCCAACAATCTCGACTCCGAAGGGTTGGGTTGCTACACTAGTCAAGATACAGAAATCTTTTGAAAGGGAATATCGAAGGATTTGGAGGGATTAAGAGGACCGACTTCTTTGACCGATCTCATATTAGAAAGTAACTATTTTGTATATCAGAACAAAGAATATAGCTTTGAGTTTGATGTATTTTCATATAAATGGACTGGAATTGACGATATTGAATACAAATGTTGTGAAAATAATTGTGTGAATAAGCAAATTGCTTATTGTATTGAAAAATATGGAAAAACATATATAAGTGATGGTTATAAAATTATACTTATTAATGGTGTGGAAGAGGGTAATTGGTAAGGATTTTAAAGTTAACAACCAGTTTTTCATAAAAAAATTTTTTTAAGTTGACTGAAAATGCAAGTAAGAAATGACTGACCATTTTGTACATCAGAAAAGAAATTGGGCATTGAGGGAGGGAGGGAGGGAGAGGGTTTCAGTATAATTTAACCAACTTTGTTCGGTTATGACTTTTTTATGCTTGATCCGATCCGAATGAATTTTATAGTATTCGAAAGCACTTGATAAGTGTTATCTCTTTCCCAACTGGGCGGATCAAGTCTAATCGCCTATTAAATGCTACAAGTCGATAAGTGTGAAAAACAACGATTTCTTGCATTAATTGACTGGTAACCTTTTAATGAGCGATCAGACTTGATCCATCCAGCTGGAAAATAGATACCGCTTATCGAGTGCTTTCGAACGATATAAAATTTAATCGGATCGTATCAAGCATAAAAAAGTTATAGCCGATCAAATTCGGTCAAAATATATTGAAAATAATTTTTTGATTATTTTTGCTTATTAATCTTTTTACCTTTTGTCAATTTAAATTATCAATTTTTTAAATCTTGGAAAATATAAAACTTTTTATTTGGTCATTTTTGTCCTCGGAACGAGTATTTGGGAAGCTCGTACCTGTGTACAAGTACGAGAAAAATTAGGCATTCATGAGTACGAACAATTTTCAAAATTCCAAACATTGCTCAAAAATCGAGTTTTTCCGCAAATCGAATTAATTTTTAAAGCAGAAATTCTCAATTTTAATATTGAATTTGAATTTTTAACCTGAATTTTATTTTTTGCGGATTTTCCTATAATCAAAAACTACTACAACATTTTCAAAATTTAGGCAATCCATAGTTTTCTGGTATAAATTCATTTAACGAATTAATTCTCCCTTCAAAAAGATTTTCGTCGTCTTCTCGTCTTATTTTATTTTCCAACTCTTCCAATTCCCCAGGAATATAAAATTGTTTTTGAGGAATCCAGCAGACTCGACAACCTGCGGATAATGCCGAATAAACTCCATTTAGGCTGTCTTCTAAAGCTAAAATGTTGTTATTGTTGTTTTGTTGGTGGAGGGACATTCGACGAATTGTTACCTTTATTAAAGAGAAAAAATAATTAATTTTGGCGTTTTGTAATTTTTTCTAGTTTTTGGGTATACTGTAATTTTGTTTTTAATATTTTTGATATTCTTTTGGATGATATACAATTGAAATTTGTGTTTTTTCGGTTACGACCATACCGCGTTGAAAGCACGCCATCCCGTCCGATCTGGCAAGTTAAGCAACGCTGGGCCTCCTTAGTACTTGGAACGGAGACGTCCTGGGAATCGGGGGTGTCGTAACCTTTTTTAACAATTTTTGTGGATATAATTTCGACGAAGTGTCCGCAAATATTTTTGCGGACGTTTTTTTCGGATCTACCCATAATCAAAAAATCAACACGAACCAAATATGGGTCGGGCGCAGGCTTTCCTTCATTAACCTCAGGATCGTCCCCAGCCAAAACTATTGGGCTCATTTTTTCAATTAATTCTTTAGCTTTTCCAATCTTTTTCGGAAATTCTTTACTCGAAGAACCGGTACATAAAGCCATTTGGATTTTATTTTGATGTAAATGGGTTATTAATTTTTGGGCTCCAAAAAGTAATGGCCATCCAGCTCCTTTTGTAGATTCTAATTCTTCTTTGTAAAATTTCTTATAAACTTTTAGATAATCCTGTAAATTAATAGGCAAATTTAATGCAGTTTTGACATTTTGAGAATTTTTCGAGGAGATGGCATTTGAAAATTTGGTAGTTGTGCAGAAAAAAGGGGGGGGGGCAACTACACAAGTGCCGAAAATTTGAAGGGTTGGACATTTTGAAGATTTTTCGAGTAGTTGGCATTTTTGAAATTTTTCGAAGTGACATTTTGAAAAATTCTGGGGGTATTGATATTTTTAAATTAGGTAGCTGTGTAGAAAAAAGGGGCGGAGCTTATGGGGGGGGGGCAACTACACAAGTACCGAAAATTTTGGAGAGTGACATTTTGAAAATTTTGAGGGGATTTTCATTCTGCAAAATTCAGTAGGTTTGACATTTTAGAACATTCCCATCCATTTTTAAGCTTTCCAATTACCTCAGGTTTCACTCCCCTTTCCACCAGCCTCGTCGTCTCTAACAAATAATCAACTCCTTCACTCAATTTTCTCCCCATCTGTCCACGTTTCAATTCCAAAGAATAATTAATACCAAAATGTGTTAATGTGTTTTCATTAATTCTGTAGTAAACAGTTTCACTATCAATTATAACTCCATCGAGATCGAATATAATTGATTGCACCGGTTTAAGGGAGAAAAAACGCTTTAAAAATTAAAAAAATTTTCTTTTAAAATTTTTTAAAATTAAAAAAAATTTTTTTTAATTTTAAAAATTTTCTGAAAATTTTTTTTTTTTAAATTTTCAAAATTTATTTTCCTGAAAACACCAAAGAAAATATTGTTTTTCATCAAAAGGAATCGAACCCCAACCCTTTTGGATAATTTAGCAGTGTGTAACCTAATGCTACGCTTACATAAAAAACGCGCGCGTCTTGCGGCAGAAAAGATAATGGGAAATGAGGAGAGTAAAAGACGCCGGCGTCTTGCCGCTTTTTTTGAGTGCTTACATAAACTGCGTCTTCCGCCGGCGTCAAGACGCCGGCGTCTCTTTTTTTAATTCAAACATGTTTGAATTTTTTGCGGCAACTTTTAGCGTCTTGATCATTTCTCGGCCAATTCTAATCCGATTTTCAAAATTTAAAAAGATTTTGAAAATTCAATTCATTCTCTATCGATCAATATAAATTTTATATTTTTAAAGTTAAATCTTATGGGTTAAAATTGATTTTGAAAAAGGTATACTTTTTGCAAAAAATATTCTTTTTTTTCGATATTTTTGAGATTTTCGAGATAAAAAAGTATTTATATCATAACTTTTTTATCAATCGGTCAAAAATTCTGATTTTTTGTTATGTTGTAGAGCTTTTGATTCTCTATCAAATAATACCAAAAACATGAAAAATTGACCATTTCTTAATGACTAGGGCTCGTACCATATAGTTAAAGACAAAAAGTTTTGGGGAAAATCGAGGCTGATGGGAAAGTTCCAAAATATCTCTGGAACTAGTTCCAGTTCCTAGGATATACTCTGGAACTAGTTCCAGTTCCTAGGATATAATAAATTATATGTCAAGCAAAAAAGCTCAAAATGGTCAGGGAAACATAAAAAGGGGGGGCGACAACCGAAGAATTACCTCCCGAATGATCCCGATAATAACAAAAATCCGGGATCCCGGAAAATCCCGTCGGGATCCCGTCCCGCGCCGACCTCTAAGTAGAATATTTTACCATTGAAGTTGGATCGGTATCATGGCAGGATAAAATGATTTAATATTATTTGTTCAATTTAATTTCAATAAAATATTTGTTATAAATTTAGTCCGCAATTAGTGCTTACATAAAAAACGCAGCTTTTTGCGGAAGACGCTCGGCGTCAAGACGCCGGCGGAAGACGCTGTTTTGTGCTTACATAAAACTAGCGTTTTGACGCTTTGCGTCTTCCCGCTTAGCGGAAGACGCCGATTTTATGTAAGCACGAAACTGCGTCTTCCGCCGGCGTCTTGTCGCCGAGCGTCTTCCGCCGGCGTCTTGCGTTTTTTATGTAAGCGTAGCATAACGCCCTCACCACTATACCACGCAACACTTGATAGGCTTTTCCTTATAATAAGGTGATAGATTTAAATAAAAACTAGTAAAATTAGCTATTGAAAGCTTAACATTCCAATTTTCCTTAAAATTTTTTAGACATTAAGAAGAATATGATTTTGGGAAAAAATTTTTTTTAGTCATTTTTAAATTAAAAATTAAACAAAACCCACTTTATTTGTTAAAAATCCATCAAAATGTGTTATTTTCTTTAATAAATTATTAATTAATAAATTCATTTTTTTAAATTAAAAATCTAGAAAGAAACACTTAATTAAAATTTTTAAATTAAAAAATATATATTTTACATACATATGTGTTTTTAAATAATTTTAAAAAATTAAAAATAATTTTTAAAATGCCTCTTTTTATTCTCAAAAAAATTTTTAATTTCAAATAAATTAATTTATTATTTATTTTGTCTCCTTTCATATTTATTTTTTAATTTTTTAATCAGCAGCCAAAGCAACCGCTTCCACCTTTCTTTTTTGCTTCTTTTGAGGTACCTCTTCTTTTTCTTAAAAATATTTGAAGTTATTTTTTTACAAATATTTTTTTTAATTTTTAAAAATACCCTTCCAACCTAACCAGAAAAAAGTTTAAAAATAACACAAAAGTCTCTCGACTTTTGGAGGAAAAGAAGAAAAATTCTTTTTGAAAAGGGGAAAATTTTGGACAGGAAAATTCCAAAGGAGCCTCTGCCTCTCCACCAAGGTTGAAGGCCCGGCCCGGTCCGAAAGATAGAGTTGGGCATCGAATTTTGGCCCGAAAAAGACTCGGTCAGGCAGCCCAATAAAATGACTATAACGTCGATCCGAACCGAAAACCCCATCCCCGGTCTCAACCAAATTAATTCTTATTTTTTTTTAATTCTCAAAAACCTTATAAACCAAAAATAAAATTTAAAAAAATTAAAAAAAACCTTTTTTTCTCCTCCCAATTTCTTCTTTATCTTCACCCCCTCCAATTTTTTCATTAATTACTTTAGGTAATTGACTAGCTATTAATTGTTCATATTCTTCCTCTACTGCCAATTCATCCTCTTCACTCAATTTATTACGCAAAAGGGATGCAAGTTCCTTTGAAAAAAAAATTTTTTTTGAAATAAAATTTATTTAAAAATTAAAATTTAATTAATTTTTTACTTTTTAAAAAGGAAAGAAGCCAAAAGGATTCGAACCTTTGACCAAAAAATTTAGCACTATACCGCTCAACCACAAAAAACATAGAGAAATTTAAAAATTTCAAGGCTTCTAAAAAACCTCTTGAAATGCTTCAGCCTCTTTACTTTCTTCAATAATTCTTTCAACTTCTTCAATTGAAATTGACTAAAAAAATAAAAAGAAATTTTAAAAAATTAGTAAGATTATTCCAGGGAATTTAATATAAAAAATCCTTGATAATTAAATTTTACCTTTTGCGGACGATAATATTTTTTGGAAAAATATTGTAGAATTAGTAAAATTCTATTTTTTAGAATAAAATTAATAAAAATCCCAGATAAAATCTGTAAAAAACATTCTCTAAAACAAAAAAAATTTCTTTTTGTCCGCAAAAATTTTAGCGGATTTTCCTAAAAACAAAATTTAATAAAATTTTTGTTTTTTTCGAGATTATTCGCTTCTTATTAGAATATTTATTTTAAAAAATTAAAAAAAAACCTCATTAATTTTTTTCAACGCCTCATTTCCTTCCCTCAACCTTTCAGTCACTTCAGCATTTAATTGAGCCATTTCTAAAGAATTTATCATTTGGGTAATTTTGTCCAAATATCCCAAAACTGTATTTACTGTTGTCTCTTCATAACGCTTTCTTTTTAAAAGAAGTAATGCTTGACTGGAAAAATAAAAAAAATAAATTTTTTTTAAATTTTTGGTCATTGGGACATTTTGTCCCATTGACATTCTAATGGGACGAAATGTCCCATTGACCAAAAATTAAATTTTTTTATAATCAAAAAGATCCTAAACCCTTGTAAAATTAATTTTTAAGAGACATTTCCCTTAAAAAATAAAAAAAAATTTTTTTAGTTTTTTGGTCAATAGGACATTTTGTCCCAATGACCATAAATTAAATTTTTTTATAAAAATTAAAAAGACGCTGGACCGATTCTAAACCTGTGTAAAATTAAGTTTTAAGACATTTCCCTTAGAAATAAAAATTTTTTTCAAAATAGGCATTTTTAAATTTTGGATCAGTGGGATAAATTGTCCCACTGATCAAAAAATAAATAAATTTGTAAAATAAATTTCTAGATTTTTAGATTTGCTTAAATAATTTATTCTTCTCTATTAATGCAATTAAAACAACCAAATAAAAAATTGCCTACTGAATTACTTGTTGATATATTTAAAGCTACATATGGAGCAATAATGAACTTGAACGAACCCCGAGAACTTGAACGATTGACAATGTTAAAATTCGAAAAATATGAAAAGTTGTGGAAATCCTATGCCTATAATTTATTAATTTCTTCATCTATTGTCTATATTTCTGTTAGAAAATTTTTTAAAGAAAGATGGTTATTAATCCGCGAAGAAAGAAAAACTGTTGAAATATGCGAGAAAAAGAGGGAAATACGACAAAAAATATTTAACGACGAACTTGAACGACTAAAAAAGAATTTATTTTACTTGAAGAAAGTAAAAGATTAATTGAAGATGTTATAGTGAAGACATGAAAAATCGGATGGAGAAACGACAAAAAATGGGGTTGGGGTCGTTTTGGCGCCGGCGCGAGCACAAAGAATTCACTTAGGTTAGACCTAATTTCCTAAAAATTTTCTCAAATTTCTTTGACATCCTTGACTACCTCCTCCAGAAATTTCAGAATTTTTCATCAAATATTTCCGAAGTTATAGTCAATGGACCTCGAAAAATTAGGCATTTTTCAGAAAATCAACATTTTTGGCCACAATTTCCTAAATTCTTGATTAAAAATTCTGAAATTTCTGGAGAACTTAGATAAAGGTACGAGAGTTATTATTGCAAAATTTTATCATTTTAGATAACGAACTCGCTACCTTATAAGCTATCGCCAAACCGGCCCGTGCCAAAACGGCCCAGTCCCCAAAAAATGAGATTAAAAAAATAAATAAATTTTATTGTAATTTTGTGTGTGTGATTGAGGTGTTTGCACTACATTTATGTCTTTATTTATTGTTTAAATAAAATAATTTTTTAAACTTGAAACAAAAAAATTAGGTAGTTGAAATTCTTGTGTAGTCTCGCTCCAAAAGTCGAAAACTTTAAAGCCCTATAACTTTTCGAAACGAGGGGCAGGGCCGAAAAAGAAAGTATTACGATATGGTTTCGACTATGCTCGACACGATGTTTTAATTTTTATTTGAAAATTTTTGGTGGTAGTTTTGGTGGTAGTACGCGATGGTTCCTTGTGAGTTCCGGACCCTATAACTCATGAAAGGGTGGTCACTCCTTACCGTTCTTAGTACCATTGGATAGAGCATTTAATAGGCTAGAACCCACAAATTTTTCCTAATCCGCCTAAATCCTTTATACACCCTAATATTTGGAATTGACCTCCATGGCTGTTCACCTTCTGGGGACTGACTTCCTAGGTTAATCCTCCAAAAAAACTCAACGATCCGTCCCACTCAAAACTTTTTCATAAAAATTGTCCTTAAATCTTTCACAAACCCTAGTTTACAATTTAGAAAAACCCCCAAAATTTTTAAATTAAAGAAAACCTCTTCCTCCCTTCCTTCAAATGTATTTTTGCCCTTTCCTTGTCCCTTTCAATATTTGCCTCACATCTTTTACAGACTTGTTTTAATCGATCACGAGACATTTTTGCTGTCTAAGAAAAGAAAAAAATTTTTAATTAAAATTTTTTTTAAATTAAAAAAAAAACCAAAATAGCTTTGTCCTGTTCACTAACTAAAGCTGCTCTTCTCTTTTTGTCACTGCTAAAAATTGAGCCCATTTTTGTAAAAAAATAAATTAATTCGGGTAATTAAATAAATTAAGTAGCTAAATTTAAAAAATTTTAAAGTTAAAAAAAGTTTGAAAAAAGTCCGCAAATTTTTGCGGACAAAATTTGCGGACTATATAAAGTTGCGGACATATTTAAGATTTGCGGATAAAAACTTTAAAAATTTTGCGGACGAAATTTTACGGACACTATGACAATTGCGGACAATTTTAAAAACTTGCGGACACTTAAAATTTTGCGGACAATTTAAAAATTTGCGGACACCTTGAAAAGATTTTAAAAATTTTAAAAATAAATATTTTTTAATTGTGACTTTGAGTAACTGAAGGCTTCATTTTTTGGATTGCATCTTGAAATTGCGGACAATTTTTAAAAATTTGCGGACAATTTTAAAAACTTGCGGACAAATTAAAATTTTGCGGACAATTCTAAAAAGTTGCGGACATTTTAAAAATTTTGCGGATTTTCTGCAAAAAATATAAATAAATTTAAAAATGAAATTGAAATCAGACAATTTTCTAATTAATAAAAAAACAAAAATTTATTTATAAGCATCTTGAAATAAAAATTTAATGTGAAAGACAAGAAACAGGTAAAATAAGTAAGTATATTTTTTGAAGCATATAATGAGGATAGTCATTTATAAATACAGAAAAAAATTTTATAGAATTTTTTAAATTTAATCAAAATTAATTGGTAAAAATATTTTTTTAATTAAAAAAAATTTTAGACAGAAAAAAATTTTTGTCCGCAAAAAAAATTTTTTTGCGGACAAAAATTTGCGGACAATTTAAAAATTGCGTAAAAAAATTTTTTTGCGGACAATTTAAAAATTGCGTAAAATATATTTCTAGGTTGAACAAAAACTTTTAGACAAAAAATTAATTAAAAAAATATTTTTCCTAATATAATACAAAATATATTGAACCGTTATAAATTAGAGAAAAAAATCCGCGAAGGCTAACAAAAAAATCAAAAAAAATTTCTACAAAAAATATTGTTAGTATATGCTTTATAAATCAATTCGGTACTTTTCGGTATTGCCACACTCGTCCCATATATATTCGCTGGATATATTTTCTATTTTTTCCTTAATTCGTACAGAAAGGTCAGTCTTCTTTCTTCCTCAATTTCACTGAATTTTCCCTGTGGCATTTTCAGAAGGGTCTCTCTTTGAAGAGAGACCTCTTTTTAAGGTCTCTCATTGAAGAGAGACTTTAACAAAAAAAAAAGATTTATTTTTCTTTCCAATGCCATCAAAATTGAAATTAACATTTGGGGAAATTTGAGTGAACGCGGAATATTGAATCCACAGCAGAGCTGCGTCGAAACAAAAAAATCTTTGAAAATAGGAAATCGAAAAAATCTTCCAAAATCGAAATTTCGACGCAGCTCTAATCCACAGGGAGAATATTCAGTGAAGTTGAGGAAGAAAGATTGACATGAGCTTTCTGTAGCAAATAAGCAAAAGAAAATATATCCTCCAAGGGCGTATCCAGGGGGCTAGAGCGTTCGGAACGCCAAAATTTTGGCGCACCCCATGTTAGCCCCCACCCCAAAACCGACCCCCTGGATACGCCCTTGATATCCTCTGCGAATATATGGGAGGGTGTGGCAAAACCGAAAAAGTACCACTACCAATTTTCTAGTTTAACCATTACTAATTTAAAAAAAACCTTTATATTTAACCTCTTTTCCTTATTTTGAACCAAATTCCTCCATCCAATTTAAATATTTTTGAACTGTACTTTGAGTAACTGAAGGCTTCATTTTTTTGATTGCTGTCTCAAAATGGCACATTCGAATAGTTAAATCAGGCTTTGAAAGAATTTTCTTTCTAGCTTCTTTACGTTCTTCGAAATCGGCATTTACTAAATTGTTTGTTGAACGAAGACAGTCACGCATTGGGGCTAAGGCTGCATCTCTAGAAAGAAAAAATGAAACGTTTTTGGACTGAAAATGAAGGGTTGAGAGCCGAATCATGTTTTAGGATGAATTCAAATTTAAAAAAAAACCCGGCACGAAACCCAAGACTTTTTTCGATCCAAACCCTAATCCAAAAAAAAATTCTGAAAACTCAATCGGGACCACAACCAACATTTTTCTTAACCTGACCCATCGAGCTTTATTCAAGGAATAATTTTGATAATCTATTATAAAATAGTTTATGAGCTAAAAGCCTGGATGATTTATTGAAAAAACCAAGAACAAGCTGTTGAAAAGAAAGTATCACGGATTATGGCAGGTTTTTACCCTCTACCCAAAAGAGATGTCACAGGTTATCCAAATTTTGAAAAACCCGATTCGAAACCCTTCAAAACCCCTTTTAAATTTTCAAAAAATTCAAAAACCTGCAAATATTTGTAATATCAGCACCAGAATAACCTTCCAAACGTTCAGCAACTTCACTCAATTTAACATCATCATCCAATTCAATCCCTGTCAAAGCATTTTCTATCAAATTTAATCGAGCAGCACAATCAGGGAGAGGAATATAAATTCTTTTTTCAAGTCGTCGTCGAAGAGAGTCATCCACGTCCCAAGGAAAGTTTGTTGCACCGAGAACGAGGACTTTAAAGAATTAAAAATATATCAGACAAAAACAGGTTAAGGGCGTACAAGGAGGGCCGGGAAACTGGAGCCACCTCTCACACAAAATGAGGGGAAAGTGAAAAAAATATTGGTAAAAAAACGGACGAAAAAATAAAGCTTTTAGACCTTTCAAAATTCACAAAACTTTTGCCTACGGTGCTAAAAATACAAAAAGATAGGTACTAAAATAATGTGTGTTCGTAGCGCTAAAGTAAAAGGCACCAGGGGTGAGCGCATTGCATTGATTTTTGGCTTTGCGTTGCGTTTTTACGATTGCCTCTTGCGCTCACCCCTGAATGACACACTCCAATATATTATAGCTACTTCCCAGATTTTGCGAAGTTCCTAGACTCAAAATCGATAATTTGATCAAGTTCATTAGGTAGCCGAATAAAGATTCTTATATTCGGTTGTTCATACCCCCGGACCTTCTTAACCATCTTTTTAAAATTAAGAAAACCTGTCTTTCCATCATCAGCAACACACCCATCCATTTGAATTAATAATTCAGACTTTGCACGTCTGGAAGCTTCGTGTTCACTATCAGTTCCACGCTTGGATCCAATACTGTCGATTTCATCAATAAAAATAGTTGAAGGGGCGCGTTGACGGGCCTTTTAAAAATTTTTTTTTAATTTTTAGAACTTATTCAAATCGAATCTTAAGGGAGGGGGCAAACTCATCCAAGAAAAAATATAAAATTGGGGGTGGGAGTTGGTTTTAAGAGCTTTCGATTTTCTTCAAGGGTTCACTTTAAAACAAGGTTATTAAACACTCAACTATTTAGGGGAAAAATCAACCGCCTTTCCCCTACAATGAGGTGGTATATCCTAAACAAGACAGCTTCTTTTCCCTTTCAATAACAGGATTGAAGGTTTTAAACTGAATAGAAAAAATCGAAAATTTTCGGCTCTGTTCGGTTAACAGAAGAATTTTGGCTAAACCAAAAAACTATTCAGTAATCAACCAAATCTAAAAAACATAGATTAAATTGAGTACTTAATGGAGTATCTAAATGTCGAGATTTAACTTCCAAAAAATATTTTTCAGAAGGAAAAATAGAACCCAAGAATCCCAAAAATTAAAAAAATAATTTAAAAAATACCAACAATTTCAAAAAGAAGTCTAACCAACTTTTCAGATTCCCCTCTATATTTTGAAGTTAAAGTAGCCGAAGAAACATTAAAGAAAGTTGTGCTGCATTCATTAGCTAGTGCTTTAGCCAAAAGTGTTTTGCCCGTTCCAGGAGGTCCAAACATACAAATTCCTCGCCAGGGACGGCGAATGCCGCGGAAGAGTTCCTAAACAGAAAATTTTCAAAAATTCAAAAAAATTTCAAAAACTTACTGGATGTTCCATTGGAAGAATACAAGTCTCAATTAACAACATTTTAGCCTCCTCCAATCCAGAAATGTCATCCCAACGAATTGATGGTGTTTGTTGAAGAATTCCAGTTTGTATAAGTGAAACTAAATCTTGGTCATAACCGGGTATGTGGAAGGATTCGATTGCGTCTGGGGAAAACACTGAAAAAAAAGCTAAATGTTTGGAAATTAAAAAATTTTTTTTTGGAAATTTAAAAATTCTTCTCATCATTAAAAAAACGACTCTCAAAATTAATTTATAAAAATTTAAGAACATTAACACGCCACACCAGCTACCGGGGAATGACTTAGAAATAATTAGGCACTCACGAGGACTCGAACCTTCAAAGGCTCCCTTCACAAAATAGAAACCTACCCACTATACCAAACACCAATTATAAATTTAAAAAAGATTTTTTGGAATTTTACAATAGAAAAACTCAAGATTCTCATCATTAGAAAGAAAATAACACCCAGAAACAATCTAAAAATTTTCTAAAAACATTGAAAAGGCAGTCAAGCCAACCCATGAAAGGATTTCGAACCTTCAATATTCCCTATCATAAATTATTCTAGCTGACTATCCAGAAAACCCAAATTAAAGGTTAAAATTAAACGACTAAAATTATTTTTTCAATTTAAAAACCCATAAGATCTTAACAGAATAAATTTAAAAATTTTTAAAAATAAAAACAACACATTCCAGCCTATGGAAAAAGCAAAGAAAAAAATCTAACACACGAGAGGACTCGAACCTTCAACTGTTCCCCTCACGGACTAGAACCCTAACCATTCCGCCAAACAATAATTAACACACAAATTTAATTAATCACCTAAATACAAATTTAAAAAAACCTGATCCTTCCATATTATTGCTAGTTGAAACAGTCTCATCAGTTGGAGGTGACACCACAGAAACAGGCTTATTTTCCTTCTTTTCCTGTTTTTTGCCATTGAATTGAGAAGTAGAAAGGGAGGATGCCTTTTCATTTTTCTCATTTTTTGAAGTAGTCCTCGACCTTCCGACAGGTTTGTTAAGGTTAAAGGAGGAAGCACCTATTTTTGACTGGGTCATGCTTTGTTGTAGAGGACGTCCATTGGCAGCAAAAGCTGTAGATTTACGAAAAGACCTTGAAGTTGTAACTGAAGATGTTGGTGTGTGTTGAACTAAAAATGATTTTTTGTATTATAAAAATGGATTCTAAGGAAAATTTTGAGAAAATTTGAAAATCCAGAGATGTCTGAGAAATCCAGAGATGGGTCCTGAAAATCCAAAAGCATTCTGAATAGGTATCCAAAGCGAGATTTCTGGATATTGGGACCTTTTTTGAACCCAAATCTGCAAACATTGATAGCGTTTACGGACAAGAGATGGAGCCAAGGCCTGGGGTTTTCCTGACCCATAGTCCAGGCCAAACATTTTTTGACCTTCCTGAGGTTTTACTGGACTGGGTTTTTCCCGGACTACATACTCAGGATCCGGCCCAGGTCAATAAATCAGACCCAGAGCCAGGAACAGGCCAGGCTTTTCAAAAATCTAGATCTCTATTACGGACTAAAGAATTTTCAAAATTAATTGTACGCTTCTTAGAATCATTTTTCGATTTAGAACAGCACGATAGAACCCTAAACTAAATTAAAATAATAAACCAAATTGGGGTCAAAAGGAGGCAAAAATTTGTGTTAAATTAAATTTAAAAGAAAACCTGAAAGTCTCTGAGAACGAGAACTACCCGCTGGCGGATCAGCAGGTGGGGACTCAGAATCAGTCGAACAATTATCAAAAGCAGCCATAGCTAATTGGTCCAAAGCAGGAATTAATTCATGTTGAAGTAAATGGAGTTCTTCTTGAAGAGTGTTCAAACACTTGGAAATTAATTTTATTCTTATTAGAAGGAAATTAAGGTTTTTGAGGAAATTCCCCTAGAAGATCCAAATCATCAAAGATCCAGTTCCCCAAAAATTTTAAATACAGTCAAAAAAAGGATGGGCGGAAGTAGAGAGCAGGATTTTTCAAAAAAACACATTGGGTATGGACCACTGCTTTACTCATCAATCGATCCCTTCCCAGATTCTGCGCCTCTAGTCAAGAGAAAAATCCAGGAAAACATCCGAGCTTGTGCACTAGGACATATTACAGATATAGTCATTTCAAGTAGGGTTGGATTTTTCGAACTTGGCCGACGTTCGAGTCATTTTTTCGGGCCTCATTTTTATCAAACCTGGCTGTTCGAGTCGTTTTCGGGCCAAGATTCGATGCCCGATTCGATCTACCGAACCGATCCGGGCCCCCACCCTAATCTCAATAAAAACAACACAAGATTGAGGACATACTTGTCCACCTAAGAATTCCCCGTAGACCTTCTTACCTATCAAAATCCTCCCAATTTTCCACCAAAAATCAACTCATAATTAAAATTTAAACAAAAAACCTTAACAAGCCGATTCCGTTTAGTATTATCATTATAAGTCTGCTTAATCTGAACACCAATTAAACGTATTGCCTCCTCATAATTAGTTATTGCCTCATTGTATTGTCCAATATTTGTTTTGCTACGTGCCAATTTTGCATTATTAATGAATGGGTACATTTTCTGAAATTTTTTTTAGATTCTAAAAAAATGAGAAACAAATAAGAAAAATATTTTTTGTTATAAAACACATTAAAAATTTCACAAGAAAAAAAAAATAAAAAAATTTTTAACGTAGCAGCAAAAAAATAAATTTGTTTAAACAAATATTTAATTTCTCCAAATTGACATTTCTTTAAATAGAAAAATTCATTTAGCCAAATAAGGTTAAACATTCTCACAAAATTGCCTCCAAAAATTATTTAAACATAATATATATGTAAAGTAAATGATAAACATGTGAAAATGGTTTTAGGAAAGAATTTAATTTTGAAAAAGGATTAATTTTACGGTACGCCTCAGTTGAGTGCCATTAGGGCGCAGCATAATGGTCCTCGAAAAAATGCCTCGATCTGCGATGACTTCTTCGATCTCCATCAAATCTCTTTTCATGATTTTCTTATTTTTATTAAATTTTTATAAAGTTCTCACAAATTTCCATAATTTTTGGTGTCGGCCTTTAGAAAGGATGGATTCTGGCTTCAGGAAATATTGTTTCAAAAATTTTCGCCTGCGGCGCTAAAAATGTGATAAAATTTGGTTTTAGTCCATCATTTATTCTAAAAATTTTGACATTTGGCGTGTTTTAAAATTTTCGAAAATTGGCGTTTGGCGCGCCACGCGAAAATTTTGGCGCACAGCCCTGGTACAAATGGATAGAGAATTAAATACTCTATAAGATACCCAAAAAACAAAATTTTCCATTGATTGATAAAAAAAAGCTATCGATAAAGTGACAAAAAAGTAGTGTAACTCTTTTAACTCTCTATCCTATGTATCAAAAACATGAAGAGATAACCATCCCTTCATGAGTTATATGCCGGGTATGAACTGAGCCGGGACTGAAATGAACTGCTCCTCTCTTGATTCCTAATTCAAAATAAGCATGAGGTTCTAATGGGTGGATCGTGAATCACACTGATTCTAATGAGTAGCCGGTGAATTGTTCTGAAATTCAAATTTTTAGATAACGTATTTCCTCAAGTTAGTGAATTATTCCAGCTTAAATAACAAGAGAAACAAATTAATAATTTAATACAGTGCCGGAAAAAAGTATTGCACCAAAGAGTGATTTATTTAAAACCCCATAATTATTAAAAAAAACTTTTTCTTATCATATCTTTTATTCCTAAAATATAAAATAGAATGTCCTCTTTCAATAGGCATTAAAAATATTTTGTTTAATAAACCTTTACTTTCAAAAACTTCTTTTTCGTATGCACACCCAAAATAGAGGCGGAAAAAAGTATTGCACCAACCTCTATAACTTGATGTTTGTTTGGCCATAAATTCTCAAAAAATTTTTGTGATCATTTCCTGTGATATGGAGTAGAAAAGAAAAAAGAACGAAGTCTGAAACTTCTTTCTTCATTGAGATCGCAAGTCACAAAAATCAACGGGAAATGGGGTTACAGTACTTTAAAAAATTATTTAACCCCCCAGATCTTATATTGAATTTTTCTTTTAGGCTCATTTGAAAGCCCTTGAAATTTGCTACAAAATACCTCTTGGACTCATATGTGTAAAAAAATTTGTTTAGAAGATAAGGTGGAATTAATTCACAATGTTGTCAGAATCATTTAAAATACCCCATAAAATGCTTGTTTTTAATTTTTAAGAAATTCGATGCACTTTATCTCCTAAACAAATTTTTTTACACTTATGAGTCCAAGAGGTATTTTGTAGCAAATTTCAAGGGCTTTCAAATGAGCCTAAAAGAAAAATTCTATATAAGCTCTGGGGAGCTAAAATATTTTTTAAAGTACTGTATTCCCGTTTTCCGTTGATTTTTGAGGTTCGAGATCTTGATGAAGAAAGAAGTCTCAGACTTCGTTCTTTTTATTTTTCTACTCAGTATTGATGGGATTATTGATGGGATTTATCTTTCGGAATTTATCATGAGAAATGTTATTTTTGATGCAATTATTCTCTCAAATACAAAATCAACAAGTGCTCGAGCTCTTGGTCTTCTGTCTTATAATTGTTCTGATATTAGATATAGTAAACCAGATTTGAAAGTCGAGAAATTTTTATTAGACAAAACTATTTATTCGATGATACAAAAAATTTAATTTCATAAATTTGTTATTTAGTGAATAATTAATGGACTTGAGTGTTTTTTTGTGTGGTACTTACACCAACTTTGAACTAGAGTTGTACCCCGACCCCGAACCCCGACCCCGTTCCCGAACGATTTTTTCACGATTCTCCCCGACCCGAACCCCGCCCCGAAAAAAAGTGAAAACCCCGTTCCCCGGCCAAAAAAATTTCGGGGTTATCGGGGTTTTATACCCCTAAAAAATGTCATTTTTTGGAGAAATTAATGGAGAAAATTTAAAAAATTTCCACTCATTTTACTTTGCTTTTATTATTTGTGAAAGAAAAATGAATGAAATATCATAATTTTCTTTCCTTCTTTATTAAGAGACTTGTGGTTGAGTGGCTTAGTCGTTGGTTTTAGCCGATATTTTGTTAATATAGAATTGGGTTCGGATCCATATAAGGAGAACTCTATTGTTTCTATATTTCTTTACAAAAACAAATTATAAACGAGTTAAATTTTAATTCGAAAATATTAATTTTATTTTTAACTGATATCCCTTGAACCACCCTTAATCCTTCAACCCCTGTATCAGATGTGGGTCGAAATTCCGATTTCCGACGTTTTTTTCTTTCTGATTTCCGAAATTTTGGAAAAATTTCCGAAAATTTTTAAGGCAAATTTCCGACGAAGATTTTTCCAATATTTTCAAAATTTTCGCCTGCGGCGTAAAAAACGGAAGAAATCTGGCTTCTAGCCTTCTATAATTCTCCAATTTTCGCATGCGGCGCAAAAAATGGAAGATTTTTGCCTTAAGGATCTTCCAAATATTCAAAATTTTGCCTGCGGCGCTGTAAATGGAAGTTGAATGGTAATCGGAGGATTTAATCCCTAAAAATCCCACTTAATCCCTCCAGATCCACTTATATCCCAAGTTATACACTTTAATCTCTTCAAATCCCCTCTAATTTCTTCAAATCCTACTTAATTTTTGAATAAATCAACGAAAATATATCGATTTCTAACTATTTTTGAGCATTTTTTTCTCTAAAAATTTTTCCTCTAAACCCCCGTACCCCGACCCGAACCCCGACCATATTTTGCTCCCCCGACCCGAACCCCGCCCCGAAACAATTGGAAAACCCCGTACCCCGACATACCCGCCCCCGAGCGTTCGGGGTACAACCCTACTTTGAACACAAAGAAAAGTTGATTTTTTATGCGGTCAATCCCTCGACCAAATTGAATTTGTCTAAAAATAAATTTGGACTGTGAAATATATGTATACCAGGGGTGTGGTCCTTTCATCTTTCACCATATTTTCGCCTTTTCCGGACTTTCGTTTTTCATGTTTCGCTTTTTATACGCTGTTTCGGCACTACACTCATTAATAATTGATAAACAAACATTAAAAATTTACGAAAAAAAGTCAAAAATTTTTAAAAGTTACAACAAAAAAATATAAAATTTTTTAAAATTTTCTTTAAACAAATATTTAATCTTCTCTTTTAAAAAACATTCAAACAAATATACTGCATCTGCCTCCAATTTAATTTACATCATGCTCACTTATATCCATTTCAACTTCTTCCTTTACAAACGCTTCCCCATTTTCGTTATAATTTGTATTATCAACAGTTTCGTTGAATGGCACAACTATAAATAATAAAGATAATTGAATAAAAACTGCCATGATCACAAGTAATTGAATGAATTACCTTTAAAAACAACACTGCATATTGCCTCAACTTCTATAATAATTAAAAAGTAGAGGTGTTATTTTTTGCTTACAAGTATAAACAGCCAAATACACCCCCCCCCCCCAATTACAGGACTGAATGTATGCCCCCGTATACTTAGCTCATGATTTCTATACCCCTGGAAGGGTTTATACTGCCCAGGAGGGGTTTATACGGTTTATACCGCCAAGCAAAATTTTTTTCGGCAAAATTACACAAAATTACCTGCAGGGTCAGAATCCGAAGATTGTTGCATAGAATTCAATAACTTTTTGATACTATTCAGCTGTTGTAATATCTCATTACTCTGTTCTGACGTCGAAGCATTTGCTCCCTTTGCTTGGATTTTTTTATATTCGCGAATTATGTCTGCAGTAAGCTCATCTCTCTCTGTTTTATTTCTTTTGGATGAGATTATAGCATTCATAATGAAGCTATCATAATTCTGAAAAAAATTCAAAATTTTTTCCAATTAAGCTTACATTGATGATCTCTTCAACAATTTTAAGCACCTCCGTCCCGAGAGCGACATTTTTTCGTCCTTATATATTCCACTTATTTTTTTAAGTTGTTCTTGAGCAAAACCAGCAGGATCCAAAAGTGCCGTGTCGCATTTATCCTCTTGACGACGTTTCTTTTGTTTCTAAAATTTTAATTTAGTACGATAGGATTTCCGGTCCCATGAAAGGATTAGTTCCATCACCAACGACATTCTGGTGGTGATAGACCTGGAAGACTTTACAGTCCCGATTTGGGAGGTACATATTACGTATATGACATAACGAAGATGTCATATATACAATTACATTTAATGGAATATAACATATGCCTCCGAATATAGTACTATATATTATAGAACTGTAATATTTCTCAAATCTGGATAATTTCTATACCCCGTATCTCCAATATACCACTGAATATACCTTCCCACCCAATTACAGGACTGTAACGTATGCCCCCATATAAAAACTTGAATTACACCCCCCACAAATACACCCCCAATTACAGGACTGTAATGTATGCCACCGTAGAATAGACCAGAGTGTTTGTATCTTAACACAAAATTATACTTCTGCAACTGCCTCTACTTCATTTTCTTCATCCGAATCATCGTCCAAACCTTCCTTATTTGCAGCCGATTTAGTTTTATCAAAGTCTTCGTCTGAGCATAAGCCTTCACATGCCCTTTCCGAAAGAGTCTGAATTTGGAGACTTTTAGAATGCAAAAAATTTTTGCGAAAAGTCTTTCCAATTCCAGATGCGCTGGAGTTTGGGTAAAGAAGCTTAACTGCCGCTGTGTTGAATATCTCTATTGGAGGCCATGGTTTTTTCTAAACAAAAAATTAAATATTATTGAATTAAATAAAATTAACTATTATATATCACATTTAATGGAATATAATATATGCCCCCTATATAGTACTTATAAAGATAAAAATTATACATTAATTAAGTTGTTGGCTTTTTTTATTGCTTCCGCATGGACAATTCGTTGTTGCTGATGTTCAATGTTCTTAACCGGCAAAAGAAAATCTTTTGGTAAGTCCAGTGCAGCATATGCCTGCAGAAAATTAGTTTTCGAAAAATACAAACTATATACCTCTTCGGTAGAATTTATTATATTCCTCAGAACGGCAGTGAAAGATTTCCAGTCCGCATACGCCTTCTGATGGGTTTTAACATATGTGTTGATATGTTTTATCAATAGAAGGCGTTCCTCCAATTTCTTTTTTCCCATTTTTTAATCAAAAAATCAGTCTGAAATATTCTGAAAATATGTATTAAAATATGTAAAATATCTTAGGTCTATTAGGTCTATGCTATTAGTTTAAGGACTAAGAAATCGGTAACTAGAATAGATGTCAATATACTGGCAATATGAGTGAAATATTTTGGTTTATATACAGGAGAAAGGAGGCGGGGAAGGGCAAAGTTAATGTAAAAGAAGTAGGCACTGTTTATTTAAATTTCTGACCTTAGTTAGAAAAGGATCTTTGAGTATGATGAAAAGCAAATTGCCTGTAAAAATTTATTCAAATATAATATATGTAAATTAACTGATAGTCATGGGAAAATGATTTTAGGGAAGAGTTTAATTTTGAAAAAAGATTAATTTAAACTATACAACACATTTTGACAAAATTATACGACAAATTATTAAATAAATGTAAATCAATATGTAATTTTAAATTAAACCGTAGCAGTTTAACCGAGTCACAGGCCTATAACTCAAGTACAGGTTGATAATTTTTAATATTTTTGGTACCATTAGATAGAGCATTAGATGGACTACAATATACCAAAAAATGAAAATTTTCGATTGATTGGTAAAAAAGTTATGATCTAAAAACTAACTTTTTCAAAAAAATCGGATTTTTCGGCACTTTATCGATCATAACTTTTTTACCAGTCGGTCAGGAATTTTGATTTTTTGGTATTTTGTAGCCTATTAAATGCCCTATCCAATGGTACCAAAAACAAAATGAAGTGATTATCACTTCATAAGTTATAGGGTCCGGGACTCAGTTGAGTCGGGACTCGACTATATTTTTTAAATTTTGCTTGTTTTTATTTTTCCATTCATCGGCTCAATCCAATCCCGAAGATGACGCATTAGCATTAGCGTGATTCTCCTTTATCGTGACTTTAAGTTTTCCTGTCGTAACTTTTTTCATAGGTCTTTTTTAGTATTTTGTAATGAATCTACTTGTAATTAGTGAATAATATCAAATGCAAAAATAGATTTATGCTCTTCTGGTTAATTACATAATTTGCCTTTTTTTATTTTTTTTTAAATTAAAAAAAATCTCTGGAGTTTGGAATCGCGTGGCACGAAATTGTACGTAATCATGACTCAAAGAATGACCAATCGCAAAAATACCCGTAGGCTAATTATTAAAATAATAAAAGTTGCTCTCCTCAATGACACGGCGGGTGGTTTTTATTTTTATGGAAAAGTGAAAGTAAGGAGATTGAATGGATTAAATAATTAAATGGATTATCCCAGTTTTTAAATTAAAATTTAAAAATAACGATTAATAGGTCAAATAAATATCAAATTCTAAATCTTGCTTAAAAATTATCATCAAAGACCGAAAAAAACACCATTGAGTATCGAACCGACGCCCTTACAAATTATTATAGGTTACCTGAAATAAGCTTGATAACCATTACACCAAAGATTCCCTTATTAAACCTATGTATTTCAAACTTAAATTTGTATTTATAAACCTATATTTGTATTTTCCGGAAAATATTACCTATTTTCTTCCGGAAATACCACTTTAATTAAAATAAATATAGTAATTTAATATTCCGGAAAACATATTCCAGAAAATATATATCATATGTTTACATACAAATACAATTAAATTCTAAACTATAAATGTATTTTCCGGAAAATATAACTTATTTTCTTCCGGAAACACAACTTCCCAGGAAATTATTTAACGTAACTATTTCCGGAAAGCAAATGTATTTTCCGGAAATATAACTTCAAGAGAATTTATTTATAGTGATGTATTTTCCGGAAAATTATGGAGACCTTTCCGGAAAATACATTATTTTCTACATACAATTTTACATTTCCGGAAAGAACAGTATAATATTCTTTCCGGAAAAAATATTAAATTCCGGAAAATATAATTACTAGTATGTATTTTAATATGAATTTCAGGAAAATTGTTTATAGTAATTTCATATGACATTTTCCGGAAAATATATTATTTTCCACATACAATTACATTTCCGGAAAGAATATACATATTACATATTAAATTCCGGAAAATATAATTACTACTACATATATATTTTCCGGAAAATTATAAATTATCGTTCCCTTTTATTTAATCTTCTTCCTTCTTCCAAAAATCCACACTTCTTCTCACCACCCGCCGCGTTATTGAAAAATGAGAGAAGAATATAACTATCATCATCAACTCATTCATAGCTTCTCCACAATAAACTTGTCCAAACTTTTCGCCGATTTACCCCAAGGCTGGTTTGTGCTTGTTTTGGTAATTTTCCTTTAATTTTTGGTGCAATCCTGTGCCGTCCTTTTCTCTTTATTTAAATTAGTTTTTTTGTGATTTTTATTTTAATTTTTATTATTTTATTTTCTCTCCGATCAGATTTTTCTGGTTGTGTCATGCTGCAACAACTTTTTAAATAGTAAATTAATATCTTTTAAATCCTCAATTTTTTTCTAATTATTTTTCTTTTTAAATTTTATTTTAAATATTAAGTAAAATTTATTTTTAAATATCTAAAATGGGCTTGACTTGATTATTAAAAAATTTTTTTAAATCGACAAAATTTGAATTAAAGTACAGTTTCTGAAAAGAGACTTACAGTCCATTTTTTGGCATAACTTTTTTTGCTCTTTTTCTAAAATTCTGGTTTTTAGCTATTTTGTAGCTAATTTAATCCTCTATCCAATGAAATTAAAAGTAATTTGAAAGATCAATTTATTCAAAAGTTATAGGGATAAAACTGAATGAATGTATAATGAACAGAGAGGATCATTCATCAAATCTTTTGCCATAACATATTTGGTTGATTTTCTAAAATTCTAGTTTTTGGCTATTTTGTAGCTAATTTAATCCTCTATCCAATGAAATAAAAGAATTTTATAGGATCCATCTCATCTTGAGTTATCAAGCTTGGACTATAGTAATGTTTAATACACAGCGAGGAGTGTTCTATAGATGTTTGCTTATAACTTTTTTGCCATAAGCTCTAAAATTTTGATTTTTTAACATTTTCTAGCTAATTCAATCCTTTATCGAATGATACCAAAAATAATTTTTATGGATCCACCCTTTATTGAATTATGGGGATAGTAACGGTCTCATCCCTATTAAACATGATTCTTTATTTTCCTTTTTTTCTAAAAAATTTTTTCTCTCTTTTTCTCAATCAAAACTTGTTTTAATCAAACAAATAAAAGAACTTTTAATTTTTTGAAACCAATCTTCTTCAATTTAAACCTGTTTTACTCCTTAAAAAGATATATAAAACAGCCAGAACGAATTAATATTTATTTATTTTAATAAATTAATTTTTTTGTACTTTATTTAATTAATTATCTTAGCTATATTTACAAGTTTTTGATCTGCGCAATCATAAAATAAATATATCTTCCCAAAAAGAATGGATTTAATTATTATTTTAAAGGGTTTTGAATTTTAGGTTAGAGATAGTGGAGAAATAGTGTGAAGAATTAAGAGAGATTTCTCTAACCTCCTCTTTTTCTACCATTTCCTCAGCTATTCCTGAATATCTTGGGATTTTTAAGGTGCTGTTAAATAAATTTAAATAGAGAATTTAGAAGGGTATTAGCATCTTTTTAAATTTTTTTCTCAAAATTTTCCTTAAAAATTATCCCTCTTAATTTACCTTCCTTAATAATATCCAAAAAATTCCTTCTATTTATTCAAAAAAATTAGGTCAAAAATGAATAGATTTTTATTTTTGCCAAAAAACCTTTTTCGCTTCTTCGGGGTCATCCCCCGAAAAATTGATGGGGTGCCAATCCTTAAGATTATATTTTTTTGTTTTCCAGGCTGGCAGTGCCGTGCGCGATGAGTTTTTGTTTTTCTTTCCGATCTACCGTTTTCTTTTCTTTTTTTAAACAAAAAGTCCAATTGGCTACTAGTTAGAGTGACCCTTGCACCTGCGACTTGATGTAAAAGAAATGGAGATGAGTCAAAGAAAATAAAAGGAAGGGTTGGAAAATAGGAAGAAAATAGGAAAGGCTAATTTTTAAAGGAAAATACTCCTAAAAATAATAGAATAATAGAAAAATAAAAATTTTAAAATGTTTGAATTTGAAGTTTAATATTTTAAAAATCATAAAAAACATTATTTCCTTAATTAAAAACAAATTTGACCCAAATGGAATCGAACCCACACCTCTAAACCTTTAGGTTATTCCGAAATCAGACTCACACCCACTTGACCACAGCAAACTCAACTAAAGATTTTAAAGTTTATTATATAGTACGTCTCAAATTTACTGTAAATAAGCATTTTTAATTGTAAATTACAATTGTAAAAATGCTTAAAACTTTTTTTACAAATTCCAAATTTATTTTTACAAAACCTACCAGGTTTATTTATTCTAACTATTAAATAATTAAAAATTAATTTACACATACCTATTTTCTTCTATTAAATCAAAAAATTATTTTAAATCACTCTCTTGCTGCGGAAACGGAAACAACTAAATAGACCGGAAACATGATAAAAAAGAGGTGGAAGAACTTTCAGTCATTCTCATATTTTTTGCCTAGCACATGACACAATTAAATATTAAATGAAAGGTGAATTAAACTAAAGTTGTGTGGGAAGTTGCGCAACTTTAGATTAAATAATTAATTAGTTAATTTAATGAATAAATATTGCCCCTATTTTCAATAAAAAAATTTAAAAAACAATTAATTGGTCAAATAAATATTAAAATTTAAAAATTTATTAGAAAAAATACCCATATAATCAAAAACCCCCAATAGGGATCGAACCCTGGCCCATTTGCTATCCAAGACAAACTTGTTACCCACTACACCAACACATCTCTATTCAAACTTTTTTAAAACTTTAATTTCTATTTTAGTGAAAAACTTGAAAATAAGCTTTTTTAAAGCTAATTACCCCAAAAAATAATTTTCTTAATTATTTCTTACCTTTCTCCATTTTATTTTCTCCCTCTATTTTCCTTCTCCAATTTCACCCAAAAAC